AAACACCGATTCTCACCATCGTCCAATCAGATGTGCTAGCACAAGAGGTTGTCGAACTCGGACATGTACACTGCGCAGACACAAAAAATTTAGAAATGGATGAAAGATCCCCCCTGCCACCCCTCCAAAAAATGATTCAGGCAGTCGACAAGGCGACCCCCGATTCATGCGCCGGGAACGTCGACGTGCTACAACACGCAGAAACACGAGCCTGTCTGCGACAAGACTCCACGCACCATAACGGTCAAAACCCTTGGGGGGCTTCGAAGATCGACGGCACACCGATAATGGACACGGCCGTTGTCACCGTCGGCAACCCCCATAAACCCCTTCAAGGGCATTTCAGAAGGCGAGCAATTTTCCGCATCCACAGTCCTCTCGCAATCAAGTCACACTCGAAGCTCCAGGCGTCATGCGAAGGACGGTTAGATTTGCGCAGATCCTCAAAGCCCTCTAGGATCCGAACTTGGGGGATTCGCTTTCAGCGAGTACCAGGTTTTCGCGCGGCTGTAGGTATTGGAACGGGTCGTTGGCATTTGCATAGAAGCAGGCGACGCTTGGGTGCACCGCATTTCGGAGAGGCTCATCGCCGCCCTCAACCGACCACCACAAACCCCGATTATCTGTGCCCTCACTGCGGATTTCTGTGGCATGAAATTTGTTTGAACCAGCGTGGGAATCCGACCGCTTGCAACTCCGGAGTGCGACGAACACCGAGGTCTGCGTAATGCGAGTAATTTTACGCACCCAGAGGCCTCTGATAATCAGATCACACGCGATAGTCGAGGCCGTCGTAACGGGCGGTTAAATTTTTCGCAGGACCTCAAAGTCCGTCGGGATCCGAACTTGGCGGTTGCTGGACTGGCGAGGAACCAGTTTGTGCGGGGGATGTCGGATATTTCGAGGATGGGTGTTGAAGTGCACAAAAGGAACGCTATGCGTGTCTGCATGGTCAGGGAGGCCCTGCTGCTGCTCACAAGTGTCTGTTCAACGAGAGCACGCACAACAGAAATTCAACAGAAATGGTAGTCATAGGTGCACCACGTCAGAAATCGGCACAGCGCGGCCCCGAATAGACCCCCATAGACGCCGATTCTCCCCACCGACAAAGCAAGCTTGTGCGACGATTCAGTCACAAATGTTGTGATCCATGATGACAATGAACGGACCCACAAAAAAAAATCACCATGGCTGGTGGCCCCCCCAGCAACCCCATCTAAAGACGATTCGTCCAGTCGACAAGGCGACGCCCGACTCGCTCGCTGCCAACGTTGACATATGATAGCGCGAACCGCCATGCGCGCGGAGACACGCGAATGTCGGCGGCGAGATTGCACACATGCCGATGACGACACCACCGTTGGCAACCCCCTGAAACCCCAATGAGGCAATTCGACAGGCTGGCACTTTTCCGCACCCAAAGGTCTCTGGCGACCACAACACATGCGAAAAGCCAGGCCGTCGGAAATGGCCGGTTAGATTCTAGTCGAACCTCGAAGTCCGGCGAGATCCGAACTTGGCGGTCGCCGGAATAGAGAGGAACGGGTTTTTTCGCGGCAAGTCGCATATTGGATGGGCTGATTAGCGGGAAATGCGACGATCCACATCCGAGCTTCAGTGGACAGAACCAAAACCCGTCGTTAAGCACCCTCAAACAGCCCCTACGACCCCCAATTAGTCCCGCAGACGAGGCGAGCTCGCACTCGGGCAATGGCAGGTTCCACAGCCAGGTTCATGGGGGTCAATGAAATTCCACAAGATCCGAACTTTCCCTCGGTTCCACTGAGGGACCACGAACGGGTGTCGACCACGAAGTCCGCCCGGATCGGAACTTAACATCTGTTGCTGCGTGTCGACCGGGAGCATGACACACTTTGTTTTTGCTGGGGTCCCAGTGACAGGACTGTTTTTTTGCGGGAGCGCCACCCAAAGAACAGTCATGTACCCAGGACTCCGTAAATCTTCATGCAAACTGTAAGCGTGTGATTTCAGCGATGCGGTCGAAACAACAATGACCGTGCGAGCAGCTCACGACTTCGCTTGCTTCAGATCGCAAGTCCGTCGGGATCCGAACTTTGTGTTCTCGCCCTCGCACGGTGACAACTGGCAGGGCGTTCTGAACTATCGACCCCACGCCCTAAAGCTGGAAAAATTCTCGCAAAAGCTAGTCATCAGGGCACCCGGGAACGGCATTGTGACTGCAAACGCAAAACCAACAACCGCCAAAAAAAAAACGTTGAGTCGCGTGTGAAAACCTGGCGAAAATGGAACTTCGGATGCCGGCGAACTACAGCAATCATGCGCTGTTTTCTCACAGGCGCGTGCTCTCCCAACGGTCGCGCGACGACAACACAATGGCACTTCCGTGAGAACACTGTTCATGATTGCTGTAGTTCGCCGGTATCCGAACTTCCCATCTCGCCAGGCAACGACACACGACTCGCCTTTTTATGTTTGGCGGTTGTGGGTTTCGCGCCTGTAGTCACAATGGCGACCCCCCGTTCCACGACGAATAAGACGTGTCCCGAAGGCGGCCGGGTTGTTCGTTATTGAACGAGGCCATTTTTTTGTGTTGAGGTTCTCGTCACGAAACATGTGGCACTCACGCCGAAGAAACGACATTGTCATTGCAGCGAGTGGTGTTGTTGTTCTCCATCGCATTCACGCAACGTGTGCATTCTTCGTCCTGGAGCCCGCGGATGTTGCGCGCACAGCACTGGCATTTGTCATACGCAATGTGTTGTCGCGTCCCTCATGACCAGCGCCAGGCACGCACGCTCAACATCCGTGGCCTCTATGGTGGATCCTGTGCACGTTGTGTGCGCGGGATGGAGACGACACCAGCTCTCCCGGGATTAACGCCATAGTCTTTCCGGGGAGGGAGGCACAAGTGTTGTGACGAGAACATGAAAACGGAATGACGACCCCCTCATGTTGATGAACACCATCCCTCTCACTGCACGCCACGTGGATGGTGGACATCCTTTGCACGGTGGCCACCTCGCGATGCTTAATACCAACCCTGGTCGCGCGCAGCCCATGTGGCGCCCGCTGGTCGTTCAACACACCCGCCGCGACCACTGTCTGTCCTGCGAGGGATTCGAACCATCAGTCGTGGATTTGCAGTCCAATGCATCTCCTTTATGTTAAACAACCTTTAAACTGTTTGATGAGAAAAGCAAATGTGCGAGGAACATTTGTCGACGGAATCTCGTGTTCTACTGTAAAAAGGCGATTTCGTGTTTGCCTCAACCACGCGGGAGTGCTTTGCAATGTTCAGTATGGCAACCACGTGGGAGTGTTTTGCAATGTTCAGTTGGCTCGTCTTCAATGCCAAGCCAAGCAGGAATCATGGGGCCTGTCGCGAGGAACGAGGGAGTGAGAAGAGAAGGAAATACAGAAACCATCTGGCCCAACACCAACCCAAGCAGGAACCATGGGGGCGATCGCGTGGAACGAGCGAGAGGGAAGCAGAAGGGAACATAGTAACCGTGTGCCCCAACGTCTTCGTCATCCGTTCCCTCCGTCCCCGCCACTTGCGACACGTGCCACGACATGATGATAATGGCAATGTTGATGAAGATGATCATGATGTTGATTACGATGCAGATGATGATGATGATGATGATGACGAGGACGGTGGCGGTGTTGATGACTACGACGATGTCGATGATGATGATGATGATGATGTTGATGATGTTGTTGATGATGATGAGGATGATGATGATGATGATGAGGATGATGATGATGATGATGATGATGATGATGGTAAGCAAGAGTCATGGGGCCGCTCGCGAGGAACAAACAAGTGGGAAACAAAACGGCATACAGAAACCATGTGCCCCAATGTCATCGACATCCGTTCCCGCCATCCCCGCAACTTGCGACACGTGGCGCGATGCGGCTGCTCCCATGCGTCGGCAAGCATGTGCGACGACTGACACGCGGGCAGGCAGAAAACCACTTTACCTTAACGAGGGCACAACGCACACGATGGCGCGGCTCTCTGACGGGGCACAATTCTTAGACGAGGCGCAGTTCTTCGACGATTGCGAAGCGCACACGATGATGCGACTATCAAGGGTTGAGCGCAGACCACGGCGGCCACTTGCTAACGCAGAACGCAAAGAAGGAATGTCGAAGCGTCGACAACTCGACCCCAGTAGTGGGCAGAAGGACGGGAAAGAGTTGGCAACGAGAGGGAACCCTTACACCCACGCCCGCAGACCCGTGGCACAACAGCGGAGCAGCAAAGGCGATGGAGGAGGTCGCCGAAGGGACGTCACGCGCGAATGCTCTCGTCACGGATGGAGATGCGAATGGGCTGCACCGGACCCCAAGCAGCGGAGCCCCAAACTGTCGTCGCACCCCATGGAAAGACCCGCCTGTGTCCCCCCGCGCGGCCTCAGACCCCGATCGCCAGGCAGGAGACGCGAATAGCCACGAACCCCTCCAACCTCCCCTCCCGCGCCCCCCCCCTCCCCACCAACGGACTGGAAAATACAAGCTGCCCCCCCGCGCTGCCTTAGACCCCCTCGAGTGGGGCCCGCGAACCCGACGACACGAACGCGAGGGGCCAGGAACAAGGGCCCTATTTTTTAATGACGCCCAGGAAGGGTAAGCCCACAGGGACTTTTTTGTCATGTCGCGCTCACCAGGTCCCCGTCGCGGAAATTCGACGTGCAGCCAGTGTTCGATGCGGGGATCGAACAGTCGTGCGGTGGCATACGGACCCTGCGCGAAATTCCGAAACGGAAGGCCCGAGGGGGCCTCAAGTCCAGCGCGCCGACAAGTACGAGCGGCGCCCTAGGCATTAACGATGCGTTCTGCGTTTTTGTTGGGGAGATGCTGCCCGACGGAAGCCTCGCACCGCCACTGTCGTCAACAACACCACCCCGCACAGCTGGAGCGCCATAGCTGGCAAAGAGAAGGGACAACCATTCCTCACCACGCTCGTTTCCTGGCACTAACGCACCCCACATGCCCTCGCATTTCCCTCCACCTTCGAAGTCGCTGTCCACGTCATATTCGACGTCGCGTGTCGACACTTCCAGCGCCCGCCACTCCACGCACTACCCTCGCAAACACGAAGCACTCCACGCAGTACACTCGCGAACAAAAAGCACAAGCCAAAAGGTCGAGAGAGTGTTGTCTCGATTGACGGCAGGGTTCACGCACATCTCCACTCGACAGTATCACACGGTGAGTGCACCCGCAGCCAGGACGTGTGTGTGTTTGTGTGCGCATGCGCGTGGGTTTTCTGATGATAAGCTCGCGCAGATTGAAAGAGTTCTTGTTTGCGTGTGTGCGGGTGGAAGTGTGTGTGTGTGTGTTTGGGTGCTAGTGTGTGTTTGTGCGTGGGCGTGTGTGTCTGTGTGATTGTTTTTGTGTGTGCGTATTCGAGTGCGTGTTTTATTGTGTGTGTGGTTGTATGACGTGTATGCCACACGCACGAGGTAGGATCGTGCGCGTGTCAGTACCTGAGGTGTGTGTGTGTGTGTGGGCGGCGTGTGCGGGCGAGTGTGTGTGTGTGTGTGTGTGTGTGCCTGTCTGTGCATATTTGTGCGCGTGTGTGTGTGATTGAGCACATTGAACGCGCGGAGATGTGCGCGAAGGTTGAGAGGTGCAAAATATCCAACGATTGCGCAGGTTTTAATGCAGACCTATATTCCGGTGTGCTCCTGCGGTGCTCAACTGGCGAATCACGGAAGGTCGTATCGAACACGCGGTGGCCAATCACAAAACACAATCACATCTTGAGCACTAACCACACTCGATATAATCCTTTGTGCCGTCCCAATGTCATATTCGCCGATCTGCCCAATGGATGATCAATCAAAACACGCGGTGGCAATGTCGACACAGCGAACGCATCCGTCGACCAATCGCGAAACACGATCAGATCAATCGTGATCGGTCAATTCATCTTGTCTGGCGTGCCGGCGTTATCACCGCATGTGTGTTTTTCTTTTTGTGTGTGCGTGAGAGTGTGTGAGCTTCTGCTGCATTCAACCGACCAACAGAGGAAGCTCCGGTCGAACACGTGGTGACAATGTGTAGAACATACACGCGATGAACCGACCCATCACGAAGCATAAGCGACCACTCGCGATCGGTGATTGATGTTGTTTGCTGTCGCAACAATATCGCCCCTGATCCGCCTAACGGATGATTAATCAGTGCACGAGGAGACAACATCGGGATCGCAAACGCATCCATCCGACCAATCGTGAAATAGATTACTCGTGATCAGTCGATTGATCGTGTGTGCTGTCCCGACGTTGTCACCGTGTGTGTGTTTCATTAGTCTCAATGGCAACGTCAAAACACACGCGGCGATGTGCGTGTTTGTGTGTGTGTGCGTGTGCGTGCGAGTGCTGTTTGAGCACCGTAACCTGTTATGGGTTCCGGCAGGCGATGGGCGTGTGTGTGCGTCTGTGCGTGCGTGTGGGTGTGCGCGATCAACCCGTCGGCGAGCGAACAGTCGATTGGTCAGGAGATCTGCCATGATCAACTCTTCGATCGGGTGCTCTGTTGGCGGTTGCTCGACTGGTTGATCAACCAGCACACCAACTGCCAACCGAGCACCCGATCAAACAGTTGATCCTGGCGTATCTCCTGACCAATCGAGTGTTCTGTCGAAGACTATCAACAAGCTTGATAGACCGGTCGCTCGCCGACCAGATCATCAATCTCCAGACGTTGGAAGCAGCGGCATCGAGCGACCGATCTGCAACAAATCCGTTGTTCACTAGAATCCAGAAGGCAATTGATCATGTGCCTGCGAACGGATCGCAAAAGGCAATTGATCATGTGCTCGCGAATGGATCACACAATGTTGTTGCTCATCGAACCTCGTATAACATCGAACCATGTTGGCCATGGAACCTGGCTTCACATCAAACCTCGGCGGGCGTCGAACCTCGTCGGACGCCGAACTTTGGCGAACTGATCGCGCAATCAAAACTGATCGCGCAATCAAACACGGGAAGAAGTTCGCATTCCGGCGAGCTTGTGCACCTGTTCGAACACGTTTTGCAACCCCCCCCCACAACCACAGCCAAGGATGTGTAGGAATTTGAAGTCCGCAGGGATCCGAACTTCAAGAAATTGTTGGACGGTGAGTTTGGTAGACAGGTCTGGCTCTCCCACGCAATTTCGCCAAGGTCGGATCCCGGCGAACTTCAGGTTCCCGCCTTTCGGAAGACATGTTTGCGGCCCGCCTGCTGGGCTGTGGATCCGAACCTCGCTTGCAAGGTTCCTTGTACAATCGTCAAGTCCGAACCTCGGTGAACTTCGGTTTGGTGAAAATGCGAAATCCGCCGGGATCCGGAGTTCTTTTGCACGGTTCCTCGCACATACGTCAAGTTCGGACCCCGGCGAACTTCGCTTTTCACATTGTTTGGGTTCAGAATGCGGATTTGCAAGCGCCTGGGGGATTGCCACAACGTCGGATTTATAAACACGTGAAGTCCGTCGGGATCATAACTTCTCGCGAACGGTTCCTCGTTCAATCACCGAGTTCGCCGAGTTCTGACTGCCCACAACCGCAACCCGTACTTCTCGTGCACGGTTCCTTGTCCCATCATCGAGTTCGCCGACAGTGTCTCTGCCGCGCGATTTCACCAAGTTTGGATCCCGACGAACTTGAGATTTCCTCCTTTCGCAATTCATGTTTGCGGCCCGTCTGCTGGGCCGAAGATCCAAACCTGTCGTGCACGGTTCCTCAGACAGTCGTTAATTTCGAATCCCGGGGAGTCCGCTGGGATCCGAACTTCTCGTGCACGCTTCCTCGTGCGGTCGTCAAGTTCGGACCCAGGCGTGCTTCAATTTTCGGGTGTTGTGGATTCTGACTGTGGAGTTTCTAGCGCCCGGTGGATTGCCACAACTTCGGATTCGTGAAAATGTGAAGTCCGCCGGGATCCAAACTTCAAGATAGTTTGGGACGGCGAGTTTGAGAGACACCTTTGTCTCTCTCGCGCAATCTCGCCAAGTTCGGATCACAACGAACATGAGGTTCCCGCCTCTCGTGGGACATGTTTGCGGCTGGCCTGCTGGCCGGCCGAAGTGAACACCAACCAAGTCGACCACCCGAAATCAGATCTTCGAGTGTGTGCTCCATCTAATGCCATAGGTCGCAGATCGCGAAACACGACGTGTTTACGAGTGTCTTCGTGCCCATGTGTGTCGTTTGGCATGTGCGCGTGGTGTGTAGGGTGCGTAATGGAGGCGACCTTCTCGACACCACGAATCATGGAGTCGATCTTCTTAACACCACGGACCATGAGTCCCGAGACGCACATTTGCTTGGCAGAACCGTTTCGTCCTTGCGCGAGATCCGTGCGGTATTTTAACGGTGTAACTACGATCCACGGAGTGACCGCAGAGGACTTCGACGAGGACCCCTGGATGACCGTCGTCCCGTGCATGCACGAGCATATTGACGATTGGTGCAATGGGAATTGGGCCACAATGGAGAGTCGCTGTCCTTGGGCAAGCCAGTACAAGTTCGCCGACATGTTGGAGTTCAAGAACCTCATCCCGGTGTCTGACGCTGTCCTCGGACACAAGTTCCTGAACCATTTGCGCAGAGCACTGGGCTACATTAGCCGCCATTTCAGCCGCCTCGAGTGCCACTACGTCAGGTCATCGCCACGAACTTGGGGAGGCCCGCGGAAACAACAGTTGGTGACTGCGCTAGCCACTGCTCGTTCCTAGAGGAGTACCCGCTCCGCTGCCCCAGGAATTCTCTACAAGTTGTGTCATACTGTTGTGTGCGATTGACTTTGTCCAGGTCTGATTTTGCCAGAGTTCTATGTGTCGCTGCTTCGAACAAGAGCAGGAAACTCGTCGATGCAGTTGTGCTTGTATCACGGAACGAGGTGGTGATTGAGGGGTCCAAATTCGTGCGGGCGCGCAGTCCTGAACGTGTAGATGGGTGGCGCGATTTGGTGATAGTAGGGCGGGTCCAAAACTTTTCGTTGCATCGTGAGGTCGAGGAGAAAGTGTCCGATATACAGGACTGTATAGGGAATTCCTTAGCACGACCGGGAGTGTTTGTTAGGATGAAATACATGTCCGTCTTTTCAGAGAGGGCATCGGTAGACGAACCGCAGATCCACGTATACGGATCATCAATTAATACTCTGTATGGCTTCGGTTCACGACGTCGTCCCAAGGGAACCCTGAATGTCGGCACATCTGAACTGGTAGTCAGTCCTGGTGTTTAAGGGAAAAGAAGGGAGAGGTATGAGATGTTGTTTTGCTGCCTATAATATTAGATTTGTAGCAGTGGAGGGAGGTGTGAGAGGCAACAGTTGCTAGTAGACGCTACACCGCGCACTTGTCGTGCAAATCCCTGATCGCCGTTCAATTCAACAACCAACGAAAACCATGTTGGAGGTCTATCTCTGACGCCATCTCCTTCCATGTCGCGCCCCGGCGAAGTTCGGATCCCGGCGAACTTCGCGTTTTGGGCTCTGCGCTGATTTGTCTTTGGTACTGTTGGCGTCGGGTGGACCGCAAGAACCACCGGGCACCACTAGCACGGTCTTGCTTGAGGCCACAGGCCCGTCCGACCGGCCTTCGAGCTTCGAGTGCTGGCCGGAGACCAAAACCCAGTCGGGCGCGCCTTTGAAAAGGTTATGCGACCAATTCCACCTGGGCACGTTCCCGATCTGAGACCGCCACCAACCGAACTTCAGAAACACTATCCGTGTTCGGTTGTCGCCCGACCACCATCGACATGTGCCAAAGAGTCGATCATTGTCGTTGCGAAATGCCAAAAGCACTCTTAGGGATCCCAGTCGCAGAGTTTGGCGCTGGCCGAACAATTCTGGCGCACAATGAGCGCAGGGTCGCGCGAGCTTCGCATTTCCTGAAACCCGTTAGAGATCCCGGTTTACGGGCCCTCTTCTTGCATCACGATCTGTTTTGAGCATAGACGGACTCAATGACTACTGCCATCAAAACCTGCGGTCAGCTGTGAGACCCCGAGTTCTCCCTCCAAAACCTTGCTCGGACCCCAACTTGCGTCTAACCTCATACGTGATCGAGTGTTTCTCTCTGTGTATCTTTCTCGCAGCGTCCTGAAGTTCGGATTCTAGCGAAATTCCTGTGACGCCTGTCTATTGGACAGACACTGGTCTTCCTGATCCCCCGTGGATTGCGACAACAGCTCCTGTCCACCCTGCTCCACACGTTTCGTTCTGCCCCACCAGGGACCCATACAATGTTGTCACAGCTGCTGCGCATATCAGAAGAAGTTCGGATTTCGGCGAACTTATCCTTCTCAACCGGCCTCTCATGTCTGTGTGGCATTCCCAGGTCGTGGTTGAGTCCACGGATCGTGTGTATCTGACGCCGTCTCTGCCTGTCGCATCGTCCTGAAGTTCGGATCCCGACGAACTTCACGTTTCAGGAGGAGCGTTGGTTTGTCTTCGGACATGCCCGTCCGGTGGTTCACACAACCCGCCCGGCGACAGGGAGAGTCCGTCTCCGGCCTCTGGTTTTTATCAAATGCAGTTGCGGAGTATGTTCGCTCAAGCATGGTTCTGGAATGCCGGCTACATGGGCTGTCTGTTTCTCTCTTTCTTTCGCACCATCTTTTAGTCGGGACCCAGGCGGACTTCGCGTGCTAGCCTGTCCGGGTTCCGAGTGCTAAGCGGAGGACACTGCCCCGACCAACGCGAGCTTCGAACATGACCTCCCGTTCGTTCCCCATGTGGTCGGCATCTCTGTTTCAGAAATACCGATGTGGTTGTCGCCCGGCCGCATGACGTGTGTCCCTTTTTAAAGATTGATCTCGTTGCAGGTAAGAGGTCATTAAAGGTCTTCGCGTCTAAAGTTCGCCGGGATCCGAACTTCGAGGTCCTGGAACGGCGTCATGTGATCGACGTGTTGGGCGCAATGTTTGTCGCCTGTGTTTTTTGCCTGCGTTGTATTTTGTCTGCGACTTGACGCTCTCTGGTGGTTCATTTGTTTTCCGTTGTCGTCCGCAAACAAGATGTCTTCGTCGAGGGGCGAGGGAGAGCCTGCAGCGACCTCCAGGATGGGATCAGGGAAAGATTCCACAAAACGTTCGTCTACGACCTCGAGGTCTTAGTTCGACCACGCAACGTCGAAATGGTTCGTTGACTAGTGCAATGGTGATGCTTCGAACCTAGTTCAACAGCCGTGTGGTCCTGTGATCTTCGTCGAAGCCAACGAGCGCCGCAGGGTTCTGGGGGCTGTCTTGTGGTGGGAGAATGCGAAAGGCAGTCGTCGACGGTTCTACATGAAAAATGTGTATGGTTCGAAGGGGAACGTCGTCGCCAGTGCCAAGGGGGCGGTTCTCGACATGTGTCTGTTCGAGGGGTTCGGAGCGGGTGCTGCAAACACCCCGTTCTACAACGACCTCCGGCGGCAGGGCGGGTTTGTTTTGGGTCGAGAGTTCTTCGACTTGTTGGAGGACAAGGACATCGCCCTCGAAGTCAGCCCCGACCTAGAACTGTCAATGCCTTTGCAGCTGTGCGGCGGTTGTGAGTCGAGCGGGGCAGCGGGGGAGGGGGGGTATCTGGGTTCCGACGAGGCTACACATGTGCAGCGGAAGGATTCCAGAGGTCAGTTGCCACGTGGCAGGGCCTTGATGGGGGCGCAAGCGGAAGCGGAAGCGAAACCTGATTGGAAAGCGGAAGCGGGTGGGGGCGTGGGTCGGCGGAGGTAGGCGGAGACGTTGCCTGCAAGAGAGGCAACCGGCGCAGCAACAACTGCCCGAGGCCTACCTCCGCTTCACAATCCCAATCCGCTTCCACGTGGCGGAGACGGGATTGGGAAGCGGATTAGGATTGGGAAGCGTAGGTAGACACTGCCACGTGGCAGGGCCTTGATGGGGGCGCAAGCGGAAGCCGAAGTGGATTGGGAAGCGGAAGCGGGGGGGGGTGGAGATCGGCGGAGGCAGGCGAAGACGGTCGGAGATAGGCGGAGACGGGATTGGGAAGCGGATTGGGATTGGGAAGCGGATCCGGAGCCTAGGCGAAATAATCTAAGGAGTTTGCACTACAGCATGGGGACAAGCGCGGAGAAGTGGGGAGAAGCGGGGAGAAGCGGGGAGAAGCGGGGAGAAGTGGGGAGAAGCGGGGAGAAGCGAGGAGAAGTGGCGAGAAGTTGGGAGAAGTGGGGAGGAGCGGGGAGAAGTGGGGAGAAGCGAGGAGAAGTGGGGAGAAGCAGGCAGAAGTGGGAAGAAGAAGAATAAAAGAATGTGGAAGAAAAGAAGAAGAAGAAGAAGAAGAAGAAGAAGAAGAAGAAGAAGAAGAAGAAGACAAGAAAAGAAGAAGGCAAAGAAGAAGAAGAAGAAGAAGAAGAAGAAGAAGAAAAAAATAGTTTTAGTACTTACCAGCAGAAGCCATTTCGATCGCTCACTTCCTCTCCTCCTCAAAACCAAAGGCTTCTTCACTTGCTTCGATCTCTCTCTTCCTGCCCACCCCCTCCTTCGTTGCACTCCTTCTTCACCACCGACTATGGTTTCTCTCCCTTATCTCTCTTCTCCCGTCACTCTGGTCTCCTTCGTCCGAGCTTGCGGCTATGGCCGCTCCTCCAACTTCGGTCCTCTCTCTCTCTCTCTCTCTCTCTCTCTCTCTCTCTCTCTCTCTCTCTCTCTCTCTCTCTTTTCCTCTCGTTTGTCGTCTTCCTCCTCCTTCGTCTTTCTCCTCCTTTGTCAAGGTTAGCGGTTATGGAAGTATTCCACCACGCCAGCTCTCTCTCTCTCTCTCTCTCTCTCTCTCTCTCTCTCTCTCTCTCTCTCTCTCTCTCGAAAATTTCTTCGATGGCGTCTCCCTCTCCCTCGGATATAGTATCTCTCGCTCTCTTACTCTCTCTCGTCTGCCTGCTGAGGATCAGAGGTTGCTCAAGCTCAAGTGCCTCATCATGAAACCTCCCCCCTCGGCCACAGTATATATGGCGAGTGAAGGAGAGAGAAAGAGAGAGAAAGTGAGAAAGAGAGAGAGAGAGAGAGAGACGCGTCACTCACCTGAATCAAGACGCCACCTTTGCGCAGGTCAGTACGCAGCTGCGAGAGAGACGAAGAGAGAGAGAGAGAGAGAGAGAGAGAGCGAGAGAGAGAGAGAGAAATAGAGAGAGAGAGACAAAAAATGAAGAACGATCGAAAAGTTCGTCGTTTTTTTTTCTGTTTTTTTTTTCCTTTTTTTTTTTTTCAAAGCATGTGCGCCATAGCTACACTGCGCACCATTTTCTCGCCTCTTGCCACTGGCCATGGCAGAGTCTTGACTCTACTGTCCCCCTTCCACACACCCATGCGCACACCCACACACTCCCTTGGCCGCACTCTCTCTGTAACGCCCACGCACGCACACACACACGCACACTTGTTTCCCCTCTCTCTCTCTGACACACATGCACACACACAGACACATAGCCAAACTTCGTCCCATCTGTTTGTCTGCCTGTGTGTGTGTGTGTGTGTGTGTGTGTGTGTGTGTGTGTGTTTGGGCGTTGCTGCACTACTCTCCGAGTGTGCAAAATGATAATGAATCCTCCGCTAGAACATGGAAAGATGGCAGAACGACAAAAAGACAGATAAAACAACAACACGACGGCAAAACCACAAAAAGAACGATAAAACGACAACACGACGGAAGAAAAA